ACACACAGCACACACAAACACACACAACACACACAAACACACACAAACACACACACACGAACGGTTTCGTCGGCAGTCTCTCGCCAAAAGTGATCACGATGGTTGCGCTTGTATCAAGCACCTGTTGTGCTGACTACAGTGGTTAACATCCATCTCATGTCTGCAGTGCCACTGGATGGAACCTCCCACCGTGCCGACTCTTGTGCATTCCATTGCCTTTGGCAGCCGCAGGTCCTGTAGCGCAAGACCCGAAGGCCCCGTATGCCCGGTAGGAAATGTAGGAACACTAGGCCCCAGAGGCCCGGTACCCGGGTAAGCCCGAAAGAACCGTCGGTGGTTGGATCGGTAGGCCCTGTAGGTCCCGAGAGCCCCTTCTAGGACTAGCGATTTCAGAGGTTTGCAAGCAACCACGAAATGTCGGCATGGTGGCCGGAGTATCATCAAGCAAACCAGAGGATTTGTTCACGGAGGAGGACGGGGCCGGCGCCCATGACTTTGGAAATGAAACGTTTGTTGTGGAACATCTGATCATGTGCCACAGCGGGAGCCGTGTAACAGTCACTAACCATTCGTTCATATTTCGGTCATCAGAACCCCTGCAGTGGTATCACGCCGTTCGGGAGTATGCTTCAGTCATAAACCCAACCATGAGTGGAAGTTCGAAGCCTTGATGTGTTCTTCGCCGAATGGGACATCCGCTCCGCTCATTCGATCAAAACATGGGTGTGAGCCTTGCTTGTCAGTCATGTCACATGTCACATGTCGGTACACTGTTGCCCTCGTCTGCGATTGCATACGAAATATATATTTCGGGTTGCATTTTAAACAAACATGCATGTGTATGTCATTTACTTTCCCCCGGATTTTGAATCCGTGCTTCCGCCTCAGTGCTCGTGGTAGGTGGTGAAATGGGGTGGTTGGTGGGATGGGTTTGACTTGCATCCATTGGTAGCCAACGGCGATGACGACCACTGTCAAACAACATATTCTTTTACCTACGTCGTTGCGTGGCGGGGCAGAGTGCTTCACATCCGAAGGTTGAATTGGTTTTATAAGATCGTCCCGAACAAATACAACACGAAACCCTACCTCCAAGAACCCTGAGTTTTGAACGTAGCCAGACAAAGCTGATTGAGCAAACGCTCTTGATTTTTGATGTCTGCGCAGCTTGCTCGACATGCCATTCATGGATGCATGTTTCCGCTTTTGACATGAGTGGCGCTTAGTGAAATCCATGCGTCAGCGGCTGCAAACGAGCCCGTGTTATGGCTGCTTGTGCACCCAACCCAAAAAACCAGGGGGCAGGGACCAAGACCGTGAATGTTGTGTAACCTTCTTGGTGAAGTGGTTCCAGACAGAAGCGCCGAAAGCCAAGGTTGCCGTCTGTGTCGCGGCGTGAATTTCGGCCCAACAGCAATATTCTAGGCGAATGAGAGTGTTGAGGCTGCAGGCAAGGTGTTTCTTGTATGCACATCATTGGGTCCTGAGAAGTGTTAGCCCGCCATGGAAAATCTTCGAGCAAGTGGATGCAGGACAGTACTGGTGTACGTTGTGAGATGGTGGGGTTGTGGAAGATTTCAGATAATGTGCAAAGGAACGGAGTACCACATTCAAGCAGGAGCATCAGTTGCCACGGCCCTTGACGGTTTTGATTCCTGGTTTATGACCTCATTATCGGTCTCTGCATGGCTTAGGCGCCTCTTTTGGCCCTAAAACCAATCCACAAGCTTCCGTTGCAGGACTTTCTCGACAAGGTATGATGGTCAAGCAGCGATGCGCCTTACGAGCAGGCCTTCCATCAGTTATTCGGACTCATCTTGCTCAACGTCAGGTAGAGCTGACACATCATAATGCGCAAATGACATGCCATGCATCAAAGATTTGACCCTATGTCTGACCTTGCTTTCGACAGCTGAAAATTGCGCACTCACATATTGAGAAAGCAGTTGCAGAAGGGCAGGGAGGCTGCGCCACCCTGCAACCACATGCAACCACCACCGCGACGACTACTATCAGTCTCATACCATTACCGTCACCATCCCCATCACCATCACTATCACCATCACCATCACCCAGCAACAGCATCAGGATCAGGATCAGCATCAACAGCAACACCATTATGATTAAAGTAATAGTTTAACATGATTAACGAAACCCCACGCATGGATCACCGGAGTGCTGCTCTGATGCTGTTCCTTCTTGTTCAGTGTTTTGCTCCTGGCTGTTTTGTTGTCGGGTTAAGGCCAAAGCTTGCCAAAGCTCGGATGCTGATGTTCGGTGTTTTTGCCGGCGGCTCAGGTTGTGCGAGTTGTGCAGCAACCTATGCATGGGGCATCGAAGTGCCACGACTGGTGCAGGACGACAATCCAAACGGCGCATTTCCAGACAGTAAGCTGCGACAACTGCACTACGAAGGATAGGATAGCAGACAGCAAAAGTTCAATTAAGCCACGCTAGTTGCCTCATTGCGATAGCCATCATAAAGCCTCAAGCCCACTCCCCCGGCACTGCAGGTCGAGTCCGAAGTCCCAAAACCCAAACTCGAAGCTCCGAGGCGTTGGGACTTCTTCCTGCGCTGCCTTTTGCCATGGGCCCGACGGCGAAACGACCCGAGCCCAGGCTTCGGAAACATCAGCAGCGTAGTTCAAAATGCCGATATCGAAGACAGGATGCAGATAGTGCAGTGGTACTAAAGTGCTGGTAGTCATGGAGGAGGCGGTGGTAGCAGTGGTAGTGCTAGCAGTGGCAGTTGTCTTAGCCGAAGGCATGAGCAGCAGCGGAGTCAGCAGCAGTAGTAGTAGTAGCACTAGCGGTAGCGGGGGGTAGCGGTAGCGGTGACTGTGGCAGTGGCAATGGCAGTGCCAGTGGCGGTAGCAGTAAAAGCGGACACACCCAAGTTCTTCACGCTCCAGGGCCAAGCATCATTTTGCGAAAGCCCCCAGGTGTCACAGGATCCTAGGAATTCCCCAACGGGCCCAACCAAAGCGCAGAAATGCTTTGAAGCCGAGAGGCGCTCTGCGCGAACCACCCGGGCACTGAATCCCGTGATCTCTTCCCCAGCTCCAGTGGCCGGGGTTCTCAGAACAAGGTTTGCGACTTAAAGTCTTGAGGTTCAGGTTTCAAATACTTGGCACTTTGAGCTTGAGTGAGCTTCTTGCATCCGGGTTTATGGCGTTAGAGAGTTGTACCATGGGAAACCTGCAGACAAGTGACACAAATTGTTTATCTTCCTGTGATGGTGCTGTGCATTTGCTCAAAGCCGCGGCTTCAGCTACAAGAGCGAAGGGACAAAACAGAAGTCATGCATTTGGGTAATTCGGTGCATTTGTGTGACACATGTGCTGAGCAGAGGTTGCCCCTTCGTAGCGACTGTGCCTTCAGTGCTGCAAAATGGGCAGCCAGCTTTGCACGGCGACGGAAACGGAGGTGAGAGATGTGCTGACCGATGCCGCAAGCTTGCGTGCGATGAAGGACAAGTCTTCCAGCACAAGCAAAAGCACGTGGACAGTGATACTGCGCAAGTATCCTGGCTGTTCCTTGGGGATGGACGTGGACCTCTTCGAAGGTACGGCACTCGTGGTTTACGTGGTATGCAAGACAGGTCTAGTGGCGGACTGGAACAACGAAAACCCGAGCAAGGCAATTCAGAAGGGCGATCGTGTTCTTGAGGTCAACGGAACAAAAGGGGACGCGTGGGCTTTGGCCCATGCGTGCATTGATGATCAAGAGCTCAAGATAGTTGTGCAAAGAGTGTCTCACTGCACTCTGAAGCTCTGAGCGCTTGCACTTCACCTGGAGGGCTCATGCTCCGATGTTCATCTTTGCGGTTTTAAGCAACGTCTTGAGAGTGGCAGCGGCTTTGCATCAAAAGCGTTCTGCTGAGAGGATTTACAGCTGAAAGGAGAAGGTCAGATTAAGCCTAGAAGCTTGCTGCTTCTCACAAGCATAAACTTTGTAAATGTGGAACCGAGTCCCAAAGACAGAGTCGCTTGTCGAGCTGTTTCTGCACCCGGTAGCCACGTTTCATGATCCTAAGCATAGGGCACGACCCATTCGCACACCCAACAGCCTTTCAATGCTCTGTGGCACGTTGAGTTTTTTTGTCATTTCGTGCTGTTGTTGTCGAAGACAGCATGCACTGCTATTACTATTGCGATTCTTGAAACTATCAGTGATTTCTGAGTTCCTAGGAAAACTAGCATTGCCGTTCGCTTCTTGGCAAAAGCTTGCTGTTAAAAGACCTGACAGGAACCGCTGACGAAGGCTGGCATCTCCGAAGGCGACCAGAATCGGTGCTCGCCCAAGCTGCGTACGCTAGTTGACTATGAACTAATTAAGCGGGATCAAGCAGTCGCCTACTGTTAGTTTGGAGTGGAGGCATGAAGAAGCAGTCCAGTACTGCAGAGCAGAAGGAATGCCACAGGGAACAGGCGCCAGAAGGCTTTTCTAGCAAGAAACGATGCGGCATAGAAGGGCTCTGTACTAGTTTCAGGTAATGACCAAGCCCTGCACCTGGCTGTACTGTACTGTACTGGTGGCGCTGACGCATGAGATACATGACTTGCGAGAATGGTTGTATGCGTGGGAGGCACAGGCTATTGCAGGTGTGCCAGTGGCGTTTGTATAGGAGCCTGTTTTTGCGTGGCAGGCTGCGTGTGAATGCAGCAACACCCGGCATGAATTTCGTGGCGTTGACCAGCGAGGCTTTGCTTGCATCCGAGTGCCATTCCTCAGAGTGTTTGTTTCCAGGTAGACGGGAGTCGAGGAGGCTGCAATTTGCAATCCTCAGCCACAGGTTTTCTTGGACGCCTTAAGCGCAGCATCCACATCCTGCACCCATGTCAAAGCTTGACAGCCAGAACGCTGGTCCAAGACGCCTCCAGAATCTGCACATCTTACGAAACACAGCAAATGTTAAGTCCTCCCAAGTTGGAGGATGAGTTGACCGAGCTGCTCAACAAGGTCGGGCAGGTGGGCATCTTGCTGCAGCTTCTTCAGCTTGTTGTGCCGCCACGGTTGCTTGTGCGCTTCCATGTGACGCTCGTAGTAACTAGTACGTCGTAGTAAGTACAAGACCAACCATTTTGAAGATCTTCATGATGGCAACAGCAAAATTACTAACTATGTTCTACTGTTGGCATTATCACCAGTATTGTTGAGGACTAATGCTTTTTGTAATTGAACTTCTTTTTCTCGTTTCTTTTTCTGTTGGAGGCTGGCCAATTGCTCGTCGTCGACTACTACGTGCCTTGGGATGAGGGTTCAGGGTTTTTGGTCCGTCTGATAGCATTTGGGCTCGTGGTGGTAGGAGCTAGTGGCCTGAACCCGACAGATTTGCCGGACACCACCAGGCACACGCTCGTGTAGTAGTTTGCATAGACGTAGTTCTTTGTTACATATCTGCAAGGTTCGTACTGATATCTTCCTTGTTACTGGCAGCAACAGCAGCACCGCAACCAATCAGTATCAGTAGCAGTAGCAAGCAGCAGTGACAACCTATGTCAGTTCCACTAGGCTCGCGACTCATCGGGAGAGAATTGGCAGGTAGTGCACCGTAGATGGCTCTGTGCTTAAGGTTCGGCATATTGGGGTGGTTTCGGGCTTCAGCTTCCCGTGACTGTAGCCTCGAATCACTGCGCCCGACTTTCAACCCCTGAAGAAGCCTGTCCTGCCCTGGTCCAGGCACCCTGGTGCAGGCCGCAGGGTCGATATGTGGCAGCAGCAGCCAGGGTTGTATTCGTACCCTTGTACTAACCATTGATTGTGCTTCTTGAAGATGCCGAGAGGGTCATGGGTGTTTCATGTGTTCCGAAGGCCACTAAGTGGCTTTGGGAACTTTGAGTTGCAGCAGTCTTCGCGGATTCTGGAGTGTCTGGTTCTGGATCCATATGAGATCTGCATATGTCTTGTCGATGTTGTGGTGCATGACGTCCGCAAGCATCTAGCGGAAATTGACTGTCACATGTCTTCATCTTCCAGGGCGTGCCAAAAGCTGCTCCGCTATGTGCAGAAGAGCCATGGTGCAATTCATTGGCAGTTGTTTGATATACCGCAAAACAGCCCTAAAGGTAGGTTGTTTTTCTGTTGTGATCTCCTTCCAAAGAAGGGTTTTCCTAATGGCCCAAACATGGAGAGATTGTGTGTTGAAGCTCACGTTACCGAGGGCCTGAGGGCCTGAGGGCCGGGCAAAGCGTTGCTGCACTGCCCCTCCTCCACACGGTTTAGGGTTTAGAGTTTAGGGTTCGAGCCATTCGAGCCATCATGCAAACTGCAAAGGCCCAAGGGCTTGAAGATGTCGATTTGCTTCATGCAGAGTTTCTTTGTGAACCCTCCCCTATTTCTCAAGAGCAGTTGAAGTGAGAGAAAGAATCTCTTGTTTTACTTGAAACCGCGTCCGCTAGTTTCCTTCCTAAACATACAAAATGTATGGAGCTTGTTCCAATCGCAACAGCCATCAACCCTGCATAATACCGGTACTAGCAGGCTTGATCTCGGTGCTTACCATCCCACTGTGTTGGTGTGTAGAGTCGACTTGCCTCTAGCAACACTGAGTGATGAAGTGATCCGCTTTGGTACTGAAATAACAACAGCAGCAGGAGGCAGAGCAGTGGCAACAACCAAATCAATGAAGAGCAGCAGAACCAACGATTTCAGTAACAGCGGCATCAAGGACACTGGCGACAGCATGCAGCCACAAGCACAGCTGAGGATTGCCCGCGATGAGAAATTCCGCCGCGGGCCAAGGGCACTAGATTATTAGCACGACCTTCGCCTCTCTCGGGGTTGCTGTCGTCATCGCTATTGATGTAGTCATCATGGTTACGCGATATGATTGTTGATCTTACAGTTTATGGTATAACGAGGGTGATGATGATGGTGGTGAATATGATGATCGACGGTGATGACGATGGTGGCATTGACGGTCGCTTTTAAAGCAGCTGCTTCGGCTGCTGCTGTTGCTGATGATGATGGTGGTGATGATGATGATGGCAATGGCGGTAATGCTATTGTATTACCGATAGGATGTGTTGTCTCATTACAATTGCGCCTGCGGGTCCAGGACTCTAGGACTTGCGCGGCTTAGCATCCCGATGGAGAGGGTAGAGCTACAATGCCTCTGCCGCAAGCCTGGAGAAGAGCTTCCGTACTTGAGAAGCCAAGGTCCCGATTGGTAAGCTCGAAGCCCCTGTCGAGGCAACGTGGAATTCGCATCCGTGGATTTCGAACGCTCCCGAGAGCTCTGCAAGAGTATGGCCTGCCTGTTTGGTGGATGTGGAAGAGACTTTGGGGACTCCAGACGATCCGTTTTGAAACCAAGTTCCTGGGAGATCTCAAAACCTGTAAACGGTGTTTCGGCGGCTTGCTTGACCTCGCTGATGAAGGCATTTGCGTCGGCTCAGTGATCTGAGATTCTGTATGATGTTCACGGCTCCCGGTCACATATTGCAATTCTCGCATCTTCGGGGTTTTGCTTGGCATTGCAAAGCCGGGGAAAGGTGAGTTGCACTCAAAGACCTGAACCCCTAAAGGCTTGATGCAGCAACTGCAGATGGATATCTCATGGGTACCGCAAAACGGGGAAGACACTTTGTGAAGACTTGAAGAGCATCAGGCAAAAGCGTTGACAAGCCGGGGGCTCGGCCTATGCCATTTCGCAAGGTCTTTCGGCAGGGTGGGACCTTTCAAAGCTTCTGAGCTCGAGCTTTGGTTGCACGCGCTTGGGCAATAAACTGACGAGAACGGTAGCCTTCACGGGCTGTCACGACGAGGTTGCCGACAATGGAAATCTACCGTGGCCAGGCCGTGAGATGGGAAAACCCTACTGTAGCCGCCTGAAGCTGTAAACCCTGAACGTTTTATGTATGCAGTTGCAGACTGCAAGGGTTTCATTCCTGTGTGTTTCAGTTGACCGCTGTCACTGCATCGTGTCAGGGTGCAGGGTTAGTCTTTAAATGCAGGATTCAGAGTTCATTGCAAGCTGCAGGGCTCAGCATCTCCGTCAACAGGCTCTTTGCTGCGACATCACCGTTGCCCCAAACCCGCCATCGATCCTCAGCCTGCACCCCGAAGCCGGATATGCTATCGTACATTGCATCATTCTGTATACTGGGTTCTTCGCTGTCGTCGAGTGTCTTCCGCTATATGACATCTTGTCCATCTGCCCTTAAACTCGATGTTCGGGACACGACTTGAAAGCTGCAGGACCTCAAGCAACGATGGTCGGGTGCCAACACGAAAAGGCACTGCTTTCTCGCAAGTTCGGGGGTTTGGAGCTGTGTTGACAGCTCCAGTCGTGTGATTCACGGCTTTCGCGAAGTGCTGCTGGTCTTGAGAAGTGCATTCCATGATTTGGGACTTCTGGGAGTTGTCTGCAGATCGGTTAACCACCGGCAAGGGGGGTTGCGTGCCCTTTCAGTTTATGAGACCAAGCGCCAATAAGGTTTGCTTCGTAAGTCAGTCTTCTTTCACTTCTCAGCCGAACAAACAGTATCACATCCTCAGCCTCAGACAAGACTGGGGTCTGCTTTTGTGCCAGGTTTCTGGAACGCCTGGAGAATGAGATGCAGGAAGAGGACATCCCGGCTGTAGAGAAGGCCGCGCTGGTGGTGGCAAGCCTGACTTCTTAGGGTCCCTACACTGGAACCAACCTGACGCTCTCAATTCTGAAGACCCGCTTCACCGATGCTCCCTTGCCTCGAACAAAAACTATCCTGTCGCGTTCTCGTTCTTGTGATCTGTCAGCTCAGACAGTCGTACGTGGTACCACATGATGCTGA